CTATTGAGCATATATGGTAGAGACATGGGGTTTGGACTATTGTTTTTCTGATGCAATTATCTATTTGTATAAACCTTGAATTAATCATTTTATGGGTGAACACCCTACATGTGTTATCGATTTCCTCCTGGTCAAACATAGGGCCATAGGCCTAAGTTAACTGGCAGTGCTTAACTATTTAATCTACAAAAGCAAAGCAAGGAACAATAGAGGTTAGTAATTCTACTGTGTGTTTGGAATAGACATAGAACTCCCCAGACAGAGAAAAAGGGACCAGCCAGACCTTGGGAAATCACATCACGGCTGTTTATCATGGGCACAGATATCAAAACTGGAGCACAAGGCATTGCTTGTCATCTTAACTTCCCTCCCTTCTTTGCGGTTTATGAGCTTTTTCAAGACAGATCTTATTTAGTTTTTGTCTTTGTGGCCAGCCGACTACAGGGCTGCGGCTGAGTGACAACACCCCCTTAATGATGCAAGATTGACCCCTCACCCCTCCCGGCTTCAGCTTCCAACCCACAGTGCTCCATACTGAGAGGGGTCAAAAGGGGATCAATGGCTCCCTCCTCTAACAGGAAAAAAAGATGTCTAGCTAGGCCAAACTGTGACTAAGGATTTATTGTTAAACACCAGTGAATATAGGACGAGGTATACAATGACATAGCTTAAGTGCTTACTCAGGCATGTCTGTACAGGAGGACTTGCAGTCAAACAAGACTTAAAGGGGGATACATTTCAACACTTCATTCCCTCAGCAGATACTACCAATATGAAAATATCCTACTAAGTAGTGATTGGGGGGGGGGGGGGGATCGTTACTGAGGTCAATCGCAATAAAATCACAGTATCGAATCGCAATACATACAAAATTGTGAGAATCGCAATACATATCATATCAGCGCCTAAGTGTAGAATTAATATCATATTTTGAGGTCCCTGGCAATTCCCAGCCCTACTACTAAGAATAAAATGTTTGTCACATGCACCGAATACAACTGGTGTAGACATAACCGTGAAACGCTTGCTTACAAGCCCTTCCCAACAATGCAGAGTAAAAAACAAAAAAAACTGGCTGTATCTTTAACCCATGTGAGCATTAAGCGCAGCCACAAAAAATGTGTGATTCCCACAAATTGGCAATTAAACAACAGTACAGTGGCCAATGGAGCCTGGGGATGAAAGGCATAAAAAAAGTGCCTCTATTCATCAACTACAAAGCTGCGTAATGTCTGCATCCTCTGAAATCTGAGCCAAGCTCGGGTAGGGCAATAAAAGAGAAAAGCTATCCTGCATCACCACAGAGGTCCAATCCCTCCAGCTGAACTACTACAGGTTTCATGCTTCATTCAACAAAATTGTCCAGTTCTCCACTGACGAATAGGCAACACAAATCCCATACACAGATTCCTGTAATTTCAAACCATTAAATTGACAATATTTGTGATTCCAACATCATCAACTGTAACTAACAATGTAGTCTTTAAATCAATGTTTCTTTAGTGGGCAAAAATGTGCACGAACAGCATGATTACCACATATTAGCAGAATGATTAGCACTTGTTACAAATAAAATGTATTATTTATAGGCCACATGTTTTAAAGAAAAGCACAGCAGGATATCATCTATGATCTTATTAACTACATCAAGGACACTGCATAGCTTCATCAAGCTAGGTAGCTAATGTTCGTTTTCTTTCCAAAGGGTTTCAAAGCTCACTGTCTATGTTGGCCACTTCCTCTTCCCTAACTCAATCAACTTAAAGACAATCATAAAACTACTTGCCATACTACTGGGATTGTTAGACTGTAGCTAGATGTGCATGACCACAAACCTTGTAGTTGGTTTCCTGGCCTGCCAGGCTTTTCTCGGTCAAATATAGAACAAAATATAGATGGCCAGCATCAATGTAGGGAGGGGACCTTTTATATATCTAGCTAGCAATTCAAAACAACTCTCAAAGTCCATGACTGAATAACATTATCACAAGTAACGTTACATTGTTATTTACAAGTTGGCAAGAAATCAATAAGGGAAATGATGTAAGTGGGAGGTTAAACTGACAAAAGAAACCCAGCAAGCTCGAGTTGGCAATTTGGGCTACTGATGGCTTGCCTCCAAGATAACTCACTTTTCACGACTGCCAGAAGTAACATAAGCAAAGCAACGTAACGCACGGGTTTTTATTGCACTTCACTTGTTGACTGCAATTCGTACATGGCTAGTTAGCTAGATAACGTTGAACAAACGACATTGTTCGCCTGAGTTTAGCGTCAGCTCAGCAAACTTACCTAGCCACTGTTACTAAACTTTGCCAAATGTCATCGATTGCTGTTCAACACCACTACATGGCTAAATATGTTTTTAGCAAGATAAAATACATAGGTAGCTAGTTGGTTGTGATACGCCCCTAGCTTAATTACTGACCATAAATCAAAGGTTTAACATCAAAACTAGCTAACTTAACTAATTGGCTGGGAAGCTAACGTTAGTTACAGTACCTAACGTTATGTTTGCTAGTTAGCGAATCAAGTTGACCGTTTTGATCATTCCAATTAGTGGTAGTAATGGCAAAACTAGACAACTTGTTAGCAACCTGAATCCTTGCTGAATTCCTACTTTGCTTGCCAGCACAGCTAGTTCACTTGTTACGTTAGCTAGCGAGCATTATAAAAGGCTGATTGGCTAGCGTTTTATATTGAAAACACACACTGGCAGCTACCAGCCTCACTGCGTTCATATAAAAAGGTAGCTGAACGTTAATCTGTTAAAGAAAAAACTACACAGGACTCGCTAGGTACCCATCATAAAACGACTAGTTGGTGTGTAGTAACAAACAAGCATCTAATGTTAACTCATTTAGATACCTAAATAAATAAAATAGTAACACTGGCTATCGAGCTAATAAAGCTTGCTGGTATGGCAGTGAAGTAGCCACTTGCTAACTAGCTAGCTCTGTCAGCAAACCAGCAAACTATACCTAATTTGTAGTTAAATAATTTACTTGAGTTGTTCAATTACCTTGCTGCTCTGGTAACCTTCAAATGCCCTCAAGGCGCTGTCAGTGAGTTTTACGTGAAAGACGGAGACATTACTGCCATTGCTCACTTGTCCACAGGACAGTCCGTAGCACTGCTCCTCCTTCAACGCCGCCATCTTCCTACCATTTCCTCCACGCTCATACACGAGCAGCACTCTGTCGTAAACGCAGAAAAACTCGAAAAGCTTTCTAATGAATATGCATGTTACGTGCAGTGCGTGATGAAGTCACAAGTTAATAATACATTGAAACATGCTACATAATATATTATATAAACATAACATTTACGCGCTACAAATAAGGTCGCCACATTTATCAGGAGGATTAATCATAAACTGTTTATTTACTTCAATATAATGAAGCATTGAGGAGAAAATATGAATAATTAAAAACACAAGACATGTCTGACCAGTGGTTACCAGGGGAAAGCATATCAGAGATGTGCGTAGGAAGGAAAAGGGAAACATTAGGTCACTGGACTACGTCAACGAGACGTCAATGTTGGGAATGTCCAGTGTAACACATTGGTAGAAAATAAATGGAACATGTGGAAACACTAAGCAAATGACTATCGGTCTTCAGACACAGATACAGTTTATGTTGAAAGGAGCAGAGTGTCAAATAATACAAAATAAACTAAATCAAGGACACAAAAAACATCACTCACTATACCATGTTCTCTACCTCCTGTAGTGCTGTCAATCCATTTACTAAGACAGTTACTGTGGCAAGCTCTTATTTGACCCAAAAGTGTAGGCTTGGAGTCTATGAACTGTAATAACAGAGGTGAAGAAGTGCTGCCAACCAGTCAAACATAGCTTGACAGTTGTATGGGTGACAAGACAACTTTAAGATTAGATTTCAGAAGGTTATTTGGCTCATAGTAACAGAATTGACAAACTTTTATTGAAATAAATACAAAATGAACAAATGAGGGAACGTGAGAAACTCAAAAGCAACAAATATCTGCAACATTTAACTGTCTTTTTACATACTGTAGAGAGAACATGAGATTTCTCATTTGTGACAACAAAATGATAGAAAAGCCAAAAAAATAATCCTCAATATAGAAACACTATTCACATTTAACAGTTGTCAAAAACTACAAAACAATCAAACTGACCAAACCTAAAATTGGTATTAGAAGGTTCACCCTTCAACATTTACATTTAAGTCATTTAGCAGACGCTCTTATCCAGAGCGACTTACAGAAGCAATTAGGGTTAAGTGCCTTGCTCAAGGGCACATCGACAGATTTTTCACCTAGTCAGCTCGGGGATTAGAACCAGCAACCTTTCGGTTACTGACACAACGCTCTTAACCACTAAGCCACCTGCCGCCCAGGTGTGTAGTTTGGTCTCAGAATCATCAACAGTGAGGTACACTCCATTTACTTTTTAGATAATAAAATAAACTATACATTAAAACTTGGGTTTCAAAGGAATGTGACAGTTTTCATTGACCAAGATGGTCTGAGTGTGGATCACAGGGCCAGATAATACAGCATCTAGATTAATCTCATACCCCTCCAACATCGGCACTATCCCAATAAAAGAACAAGAGCAGTTAATATTTTTAAATTGACGGATCATTCCTAGAATTATCATTTCAGAGTGCTCAATCAATCAATTTAGAATCACTACTATAGAGGAGCTCAAGACATCGACAGCAATGAACAATTAGTGTCTGTCAATAAATGGACGTACATACATTTGAAAAGTATTTAGTACGTTTCATTTACAAATATTGATTGTATAGTATTTGTCACATATAATTCTCCTTCTCCCAAGGAGTGACAGAACAGTGTGAGAAACCTATGGACAGTAAAGAGGTGACAGAAAAGCATTTGTCCCCTTTTCTTTTTTTACAGTTCTAAAAGGCACCGCCAGATGTCCAGTTGCTTTTTGTGGGTCCCACTTTGCACGGTGCAGGCAATCACCAGAAAAGTATTGGTCTCATCTAATTTCTGGCAGCTATGACAACTGACAAGGCGACACCTCCAATGGCTACAGCCGTGGCACCGAAGAGCCATTTCCAGCTGACACCCTGTGGACAAAAGACAAGAAATGTAAGGCTTTCTGTTGACACCTGGGATACATCCATTTCTGATCCTCAGCTGATTTTAAATAAAATATTGTGTTAATGCTAATATCAGTTTATTGACATGAGCAGGTGAAGCCTCTTGAGAGGACGATCTCACCCATGACGACTTGGCCTGGTGTTTCTGCATGCCGCCGCTGCCGCTGGCTGGGTTGCCTAGCATCTTCTTGTACATGGCCTGCTCTGCGCCTTTCTGCTCCGAGTGCTTCTTCACCAGCTTGGAGAGTTCTGCGTGGATAGTCTTCCCCAGGAGACAGCAAAGTGTGATAATAAGCTGCAGGCGTACTACTACTACTCCCCTTTCCCACGCTCACATAGCATGTGTATATCATACACATTCACTCATAATAACAACACTTTCCCAATGGCTAGCGGAATTATTTGTACACCATTTTTATTTTATATTTTTATTTTTTACCTTTATTTAACTAGGCAAGTCAGTTAAGAACAAATTCTTATTTACAATGACTGCCTACACCGGCCAAACCCGGACGACGCCGGGCCAATTGTGCGCCGCCCTATGGGACTTCCCAATCACGGCCGGTTGTGATACAGCCTGGAATCGAACCAGGGGGTCTGTAGTGATGCCTCAAGCACTGAGATGCAGTGCCTTAGACCGCTGCGCCACTCGGGAGCCCATAATAGTGTTCTGGTAACTGCAGGTGGCTTGATTATTGGTGATTGATGCTACTGTGAATTTCATATGCTTGCTTATAAATAAATACAACTTTATATAAAGTATCTGACTCATTCCTCTGAAGGGTTGGTAAGTGGGCAATTTAGGACATTTTCACAGTTGGTCAAAATGTCATACAGCCTCCGAGGAGCCACTTACTGGCACTGTGTTGTGGACCGAGGAAGGTAGAGACTTTGGGTAAGTCTCTGCTCTTAGTCCCCTTTTCCACTGCTGCTAAGATTAAATGGGTGCTTGAAAGTATTACGTTTCTACAGGACCCCCTTGGCATTCCCATGTAGCAATACTTCTGATCTTGTACACACCAGTAATGTTTGAGGACAGAAATTACATAACTGCTGCCGTTCTTGTCATCTTTCCCCATTTTACTACAAAATGTAATTTGAGAAAAAAGCAAATTGTGTTAATTAAATGTATTTAGACAAGAAAACAATAACATCCATCAAAAATAAGATGTAGGGAGTGGACCACAATTCTAGCATCTAAATATGCAAGCTTTTAATCTAGACCCTTGGTTTATTGCTCCTAATCTTAAACACTTCAGCAAAAACACCACCACAAACATGCCCAGGCAGCTACATTTAAGAGATTATATAACCAACTCTTGTCAGTGGTGCACTCTGCAGCCCAGTTCAGAGGGCAAGAGCTTGCCTAATGCTAATGTAAGATATCATATATGAACCACTGAAAATTCTTAAACCGCCCACAAAACACACTTGTGCACTACATTAGAGCCTGAGAAACAAAACACACTGTATGGGACATTAATAAAAGACAGTCAGCGAGAGCACGATTTCACAGGTTGGTGGGCGGGACCAAAAAAAACAGGCGGCAGGATTGGGGAGAGTTGGGCATGAGTGGTAAGTATTAACATGAAGCTGGTCCAACAAGCCCACACGCTGTAGTGCGCTCTGTCAGATTGCCCTGTTCAGGGAGCCGCAATGCCTTGGATATCACCTGGGCACAGAGGAACCAACCTATTTACAGCAACAACACAAACTCAGATCCACCAAAATGAGTAGGCACCTGGTTTAACTCGTCATCAATTAGAGAATGTGGCACCACCTGGTGGATGTAAGTGAAAACTGCAACAACATGTGGACCTGAGAATTTGTTTACGTTCTACAGCTTTCTAAATAATGTTTTTGTGAAGGTGGAAGGCAGTACCTTGTTACTTGGTTCCAACTTCAGGGCCCTCTTCAAAATCTTTATAGCTTCAGCATATTCCCCTTGCAAGGCCAATACCTAGAGACACAGATGTAGTCCACGGTGATGCTTTCAGAGATGGACATTCATACTCACAATTATACATACACAACTCACCAGTTGTGTGAGACCTACCTTGCCTTTGCGGAATAGGGCTTTGATGTTGTCTGGCTGGTGGGCCAGTACTGAAACGCAGGACCGTAGTGCTGCTTCATAGTGATCCAACTTGAGCTGGGCAGCAGCCATGTTGTTTAGACACTTCATCTTCACGTCCATCAGCTCCTCCTCCTCCTCCGGGCTAATGTCCACTGAAACGACAGTCACACACAGCATCAGTAAGCTACAGGGAGTCTTGAGCCCCATCCAAAAACAGTGCTTTCGCAAAAAACACACAAATCTGTCACTACTGTCACCTTTAGAGCTGGACTCAGTGACCTGCAGGGCGAAGCCATAAGAGTTAACAGCGAAGGCATAGTCCCCTCTCTGGTAGTAGACATTGCCCCTCTCCCTCTTCTGCCCAGCCAGGGCGATCCTCTCCTGGGGGGACAGGAGCTCAAGGTCGGGGGCCTCAGTGGCATCCAGCAGCTGGACCTCCAGGGCCAACTCAGCACTGGGAGGCACCTCAGGTGCAAGACTTCCAGTGGTAAAGGCCAGGGCAGGGAGCACACAAGCAGAGAGCAAAGTCAGGACGTGTCCTATAAGCATTGAGCTCTAGATAAGACAGCACCATTTCACTCAATGCTCTTTCTGAGAATGGAAGAGTGCTGAGGCATTTTGCTTTACTCCCATTAAGAGGTGCAGCTACAAAGAATCATATCAGGCACAAGTTCATGATATCTACTCTGACGTCACGAAGGATAGGGAGCACTTCAGAGTTATCTTTATAGGAAATTACAATCTCAGAATAGATGGCTTGTTTGGGTAGCAACAAGACATGTCAGTGAAACCACAAAGAACCAGCAAGATTAAGAAACCCTCCATACCTCCCCAGGGCACCATATGCATATTTAGCATCGGCTTGGACGAGGGCCTTCTCCCCCATTTCCATGAGCTGCACTGTGAGATCCAGAGCCTGCGAGAGCACAGCAGAGTTAAAGCCTGATTACTACACTTCTCATTATCTTAGTTTGGATGCATTGCTTGTGAATATAAAATCGACACTGAACTTAAAATACACATTTCATCCATTTACATTTCTGGGATCAACTAACATCACTACCTTGTATGGAATCCGACAGATCGGATTTGCTTTCACTTAAAATACTGAGTAGAATGTACCTGGATGACATCACCATCTCCCAGAGTGAAAGAGAGCTCAGGTTGCTCTTCTATAAGAGTCCCATCAGCCAGTGAAGTCTTCAGGTGAATCACGACATTCTGGCCTTTCGTGGGCCTGCTGTCTGGCCCATTCCCTGCCTGCAGGACTTTCTTCTTTAGCTGGCCATTACCTGCAAATAGATACAGTCAGGCCATAAATATTTGGACATTGACCAAGTTATTATTATTTTAGCTGTCTACCACAGCATATTGGAGTTTAAATTAAATAATGAATAAGACTTTCAGCTTTAATTTGAGGGTATTTACATCCAAATCGGGTGAACGGTGTAGGAATTACAGCACTTTTTATGTGAGCTCAGGAACACCAAAAGGCCCGGAAGACCTGTTGTGGATGACAGAATAATTTATTCCCTGGTGAAGAAAAACCCCTTCACAACAGTTGACCAGATCAAGAACACCCTCCAGGAGGAAGGCATATCTGTGTCAAAGTCAACAATCAAGAGAAGACTTCACCAGAGTAAATACAGAGGGTTTTCCACAAGATGTAAACCATTGGTAAGCCTCAAAAACAGGAACACCAGATTAGAGTTTGCCAAAAAACATCTAAAAAAGCCTGTACAGTTCTGGAACAACATCCTATGGCCAGATGAGACACATATTAACTTGTACCAGAATGATGGGAAGAGAAGAGTATGGAGAAGGGAAGGAACTGCTCAGGATCCGAAGCATACCACCTCATCTGTGAAGCATGGTATACTACCCACCATTGTGACCTGTACGCTCTTGTTGGCTGGCCCTCACTACATATTCGTCGCCAAACACACTAGTTCCAGGTCATCTATAAATCTCTGCTAGGCAAATCCCCGCCTTATCTTAGCTCACTGGTCACCATAGCAACACCCACCCGTAGTCTGCGCTCCAGCAGGTATATCTCACTGGTCATCCCCAAAGCCAACACCTCCTTTGGCCGCCATTCCTTCCAGTTCTCTGCTGCCAATGACTGGAACGAACTGCAAAAATCTCTGAAGCTGGAGACGCTTATCTCCCTCACTATCTTTAAGCATCAGTTGTCAGAGCAGCTTACTGATCACTGCACCTGTACACAGCCCATCTGTAATTAGCCCACCCAACTACCTCATCCCCATATTGTTATTTATTTTGCTAATTTGCACCCCAGTATCTCTATTTGCACATCATCTTTTGCATCATCTATCATTCCAGTGTTAATACGAAATTGTAACTATTTTGCACTATGGCCTATTTATTGCCTTACCTCCATAATTTACTACATTTGCACACACTGTATATATTTTTTCTGTTGTAATTTTTGACTATGTTTTGTTTACCCCATATGTAACTCCGTGTTGTTGTTTTTACCGCACTGCTTTGCTTTATCTTGGCCAGGTCGCAGTTGTAAATGAGAACTTGTTCTCAACTGGCTTACCTGGTTAAATAAAGGTTTAAAAAAAAAAAAATTGGTGGAGGTAGTGTTATGGCGCGGGCATGTATGGCTGCCAATGGAACTGGTTCCCTTGTATTTATTGATGATGTGACTGCTGACAAAAGCAGCAGGATGAATTCTGAAGTGTTTAGGGCTATATTATCTGCTCAGATTCAGCCAAATGCTTCAAAACTCATTGAACGGCACTTCACAGTGCTGATGGACAATGACCCGAAGCACACTACGAAAGCAACCCAATACTTTAAGGCAAAGAAGTGGAATGTTCTGCAATGGCCAAGTCAATCACATGACCTGAATCCAATTGAGCATGCATTTCACTTGCTGAAGGTAAAATGCCCCAAGAACAAACAGGAACTGAAGACAGCTGCAGTAAAGGCCTGGCAGAGCGTCACCAGGGAAGAAACCCAGCATCTGGTGATGTCTATGGGTTCCAGACTTCAGGCAGTCATTGACTGCAAAGGATTTGCAACCAAGTATTAAAACTCACAATTTAATTTATGATTGTTAGTTTGTCCAATTACTTTTGAGCCCCTGAAATTGGAGGGCTGTGTATAAAGATTGTTGTAATTCCTACACGGTTCATACAATAATTTTGACAAAACCCTTAAATGAAAGATAAAAGTCTACACTTAAAGCATATCTTGATTGATTCCTTTCAAATCCATTGTGGTGGCGTACAGAGCCAAAATGATGCAAATTGTGTCACTGTCCAAATACTTATGGACCTGACTGTACGTGAGAATATAAGCCAAATGGTGATGACGGTCACCCAGTGATGTTCCTTTCTCTTTGACCTAAAAATAGAAAAAGTGAATTTTGTTACCTAGTATATCCATCCATTCGTCTAGTGGAGCTGAAGGGCCAGTGTCTTGGTCCTCTGCAGGAACCTCTGTTTTAGTCTTCTTCCCACCCCCAGCATCTTCCAAAGGAGGAGGGTCGTCATCAATGTCATCATCATCCAGCATCTCAAAGTCTTCCCCACTGTCCAGCAGCGAGGCTTTCCCTGACTTCTTCCCTGAGAGAACCATTTCCGTGTTATCACCTGCACCCTTCACCTCCTCTTTGTCAGTCATCTGTTGAAATGCCTTCAATGTGATTTCGAAATACAGTTGAGAATAAAACAGGGGTATTTCTGTTAGCAGCATAAATTGTGCCTTTAAAATTAAAGGGGTGTTATTGGCTATACACGCTCTGGCATCATCCCGTGCATATTGTTTAGAAATAATGGGTTGCTGTGGTTTGACCAGATTCATCCATGATTCTGGGTCTGGTAACGTTAGCTACAGTTGAAGTCGGAAGATTACATACACCTTAGCAAATACATTTAAACTCAGTTTTTCACAATTCCTGACATTGAAATCCTAGTAAAAATGCACTGTCTTAAGCCAGTTAGGATCACCACTTTATTTTAAGAATGTGAAATGTCAGAATAATAGTAGAGAGAATTATTTCTTACAGCTTTTATTTCTTTCATCACATTCCCAGTGGGTCAGAAGTTTACATACACTCAATTAGTATTTGGTAGCATTGCCTTTCAAATTGTTTAACTTGGGTCAAACGTTTTGGGTAGCCTTCCACACGCTTCCCACAATAAGTTGGGTGAATTTTGGCCCATTCCTCCTGCCAGAGCTGGTGTAACTGAGTCAGGTTTGTAGGTCTCCTTGCTCGCACACACTTTTTCAGTTCTGCCCACACATTTTCTACAGGATTGAGGTCAGGGCTTTGTGATGGCCACTCCAATACCTTGACTTTGTTGTCCTTAAGCCATTTTGGCACAACTTTGGAAGTATGCTTGGGGTCATTGTCCATCTGGAAGACCCATTTGCGACCAAGCTTCAACTTCCTGACTGATGTCTTGAGATGTTGCTTCAATATATCCACATAATTTTCCTTCCTCATGATGCCATCTATTTTGTGAAGTGCACCAGTCCCTCCTGCAGCAAAGCACCCCCACAGCATGATGCTGCTACCCCCGTGCTTCACAGTTGGGATGGTGTTCTTCGGCTTGCAAGCATCTCCCTTTTTCCTCCACACATAACAATGGTCATTATGGCCAAACAGTTCTATTTTTGTTTCATTAGACCAGAGGACATTTCTACAAAAAGTACAATCTTCGTCCCCATGTGCAGTTGAAAACCGTAGTCTGGCTTTTTTATGGTGGTTTTGGAGCAGTGGCTTCTTCCTTGCTGAGCGGCCTTTCAGGTTATGTCGATATAGGACTCATTTTACTGTGGATATAGATACTTTTGTACCTGTTTCCTCCAGCATCTTCACAAGGTCCCTTTGCTGTCGTTCTGGGATTGATTTGCGCCAAAGTACGTTCATCTCTAGGAGACAGAACGCATCTCCTTCCTGAGCGGTATGACGGCTGCGTGGTCCCATGGTGTTTATACTTGCATACTATTGTTTGTACAGATGAACGTGGTACCTTCAGGCGTTTGGAAATTGCTCCCAAGGATGAACCAGACTTGTGGAGGTCTACAATTTATTTCTGAGGTCTTGGCTGATTTCTTTTGATTTTCCCATGATGTCAAGCAAAGAGGCACTGAGTTTGAAGGTAGGCCTTGAAATACATCCACAGGTACACCTCCAATTGACTCAAATGATGTCATCATTTCAGCTTCTAAAGCCATGTCATCATTTTCTGAAATTTTCCAAGCTTTTTAAAGGCACAGTCAACTTAGTGTATGTAAACTTCTGACCCACTGGAATTGTGATACAGTGAATTATAAGTGAAAAAAACTGTGTGTAAACAATTGTTGGAAAAATTACTTGTGTCATGCACAAAGTAGATGTCCTAACCGACTTGCCAAAACTATAGTTTGTTAACAAGAAAGTGGAGTGGTTGAAAAAAGAGTTTTTATGACTCCAACCGAAGTGTATGTAAACTTCCGACTTCAACTGAATGAATATATACACATACATACATACATACAGTGAGGGAAAAAAGTATTTGATCCCCTGCTGATTTTGTACGTTTGCCCACTGACAAAGAAATGATCAGTCTATAATTTTAATGGTAGGTTTATTTGAACAGTGAGAGAATAACAACAACAAAAAACAGAAAGACGCATGTCAAAAATGTTATAAATTGATTTGCATTTTAATGAGGGAAATAAGTATTTGACCCCCTCTCAATCAGAAAGATTTCTGGCTCCCAGGTGTCTTTTATACAGGTAACGAGCTGAGATTAGGAGCACACTCTTAAAGGGAGTGCTCCTAATCTCAGTTTACCTGTATAAATGACACCAGTCCACAGAAGCAATCAATCAATCAGATTCCAAACTCTCCACCATGGCCAAGACCAAAGAGCTCTCCAAGGATGTCAGGGACAAGATTGTAGACCTACACAAGGCTGGAATGGGCAAGCAGCTTGGTGAGAAGGTGACAACAGTTGGTGTGATTATTCGCATATGGAAGAAACACAAAATAACTGTCAATCTCCCTCGGCCTGGGGCTCCATGCAAGATCTCACCTTGTGGAGTTACAATGATCATGAGAACGGTGACGAATCAGCCCAGAACTACACGGGAGGATCTTGTCAATGATCTCAAGGCACCTGGGACCATAGTCACCAAGAAAACAATTGGTAACACACTACGCCGTGAAGGACTGAAATCCTGCAGCGCCCGCAAGGTCCCCCTGCTCAAGAAAGCACATATACAGGCCCGTCTGAAGTTTGCCAATGAACATCTGATTGATTCAGAGGAGAACTGGGGGAAAGTGTTGTGGTCAGATGAGACCAAAATCGAGGTCTTTGGCATCAACTCAACTCGCCGTGTTTGGAGGAGGAGGAATGCTGCCTATGACCCCAAGAACACCATCCCCACCGTCAAACATGGAGGTGGAAACATTATGCTTTGGGGGTGTTTTTCTGCTAAGGGGACAGGACAACTTCACCGCATCAAAGGGACGATGGACGGGGCCATGTACCGTCAAATCTTGGGTGAGAACCTCCTTCCCTCAACCAGGGCAATGAAAATGGGTCGTGGATGGGTATTCCAGCATGACAATGACCCAAAACACATGGCCAAGGGAACAAAGGAGTGGCTCAAGAAGAAGCACATTAAGGTCCTGGAGTGGCCTAGCTAGTCTCCAGACCTGAATCCCATAGAAAATTTGTGGAGGGAGCTGAACGTTCGAGTTTCCAAACATCAGCCTCGAAACCGTAATGACTTGGAGAAGATCTGCAAAGAGGAGTGGGACAAAATCCCTCCTGAGATGTGTGCAAACCTGGTGGCCAACTACAAGAAACGCCTGACCTCTGTGATTGCCAACAAGGGTTTTGCCACCAAATACTAAGTCATGTTTTGCAGAGGGGTCAAATACTTATTTCCCTCATTAAAATGCAAATCAATTCATAACATTTTTGACATGCATTTTTCTGGATTTTTTGGTTGTTGTTCTGTCTCTCACTGTTCAAATAAACCTACCATTAAAATTATAGACTGATCCTGTCTTTGTCAGTGGGCAAACGTACAAAATCAGCAGGGGATCAAATACTTTTTCCCCCTCACTGTACCGATTTTGCAGGTTTTCCTACTTACAAAGCATGTAGAGGTCTGTAATTTTTATCATAGGTTCACTTCAACTGTGAGAGATTGAATCTAAAACAAAAATCCAGAAAATCACATTGTATGATTTTTAAGTAATTAATTTGCATTTTATTGCATGACATAAGTATTTGATCACCTACCAACCAGTACGAATTCCGGCTCTCACAGACCTGTTAGTTTTTCTTTAAGAAGCCCTCCTGTTCTCCACTCATTACCTGTATTAACTGCACCTGTTTGAACTCGTTACCTGTATAAAAGACACCTGTCCACACACTCAATCAAACAGACTCCAACCTCTCCACAATGGTCAAGACCAGAGAGCTGTGTAAGGACATCAGGGATAAAATTGTAGACCTGCACAAGGCTGGGATGGGCTACAGGACAATAGGCAAGCAGCTTGGTGAGAAGGCAACAACTGTTGGCGCAATTATTAGAAAATGGAAGAAGTTCAAGATGACGGTCAATCACCCTCGGTCTGGGGCTCCATGCAAGATCTCACCTTGTGGGGCATCAATGATCATGAGGAAGGTGAGGGATCAGCCCAGAACTACACGGCAGGACCTGGTCAATGACCTGAAGAGAGCTGGGACCACAGTCTCAATGAAAACCATTAGTAACACACTACGCCGTCATGGATTAAAATCCTGCAGCGCACGCAAGGTTCCCCTGCTCAAGCCAGCGCATGTCCAGGCCCGTCTGAAGTTTGCCAATGACCATCTGGATGATCCAGAGGAGGAATGGGAGAAGGTCATGTGGTCTGATGAGACAAAAATAGAGCTTTTTGGTCTAAACTCCACTCGCCGTGTTTGGAGGAAGAAGAAGGATGAGTACAACCCCAAGAACACCATCCCAACCGTGAAGCATGGAGGTGGAAACATCATTCTTTGGGGATGCTTTTCTGCAAAGGGAACAGGACGACTGCACCGTATTGAGGGGAGGATGGATGGGGCCATGTATCGCGAGATCTTGGCCAACAACCTCCTTCCCTCATTAAGAGCATTGAAGATGGGTCGTGGCTGGGTCTTCCAGCATGACAACGACCCGAAACACACAGCCAGGGCAACTAAGGAGTGGCTCCGTAAGAAGCATCTCAAGGTCCTGGAGTGGCCTAGCCAGTCTCCAGACCTGAACCCAATAGAAAATCTTTGGAGGGAGCTGAAAGTCCGTATTGCCCAGCGACAGCCCCGAAACCTGAAGGATCTGGAGAAGGTCTGTATGGAGGAGTGGGCCAAAAGTGTGTGCAAACCTGGTCAAGACTTACAGGAAACGTATGATCTCTGTAATTGCAAACAAAGGTTTCTGTACCAAATATTAAGTTCTGCTTTTCTGATGTATCAAATACTTATGTCATGCAATAAAATGCAAATTAATTACTTAAAAATCATACAATGTGATTTTCTGGAGTTTTGTTTTAGATTCCGTCTCTCACAGTTGAAGTGTACCTATGATAAAAAATTACAGACCTCTACATGCTTTGTAAGTAGGAAAACCTGCAAAATCGGCAGTGTATCAAATACTTGTTCTCCCCACTGTACATACATAGATACATACATTATATATATATATATTATAAATATATTACATCTTGG